TACATGCTGATATATTTAATAATTTTACCAACTCCTTTACTTTAGTCCTCTATAGAATGTTAGCTAGTATTTCTCTATACTGGTTTCTTTTTTTCCTTGTCATGTGGGTCTTGACTATTGGATATATTTATATACAAAAGATATTCTTATAAAGTGTCTATTATTCTTATGCTGTTATTATACTAACTGAACCATATCTGATTGTATAGGTCTTGCTAGTTAAAGAGTGATGTTTTTAATTACTATCTGATTCTGAAACAGGTTGGTAATATCAGTTTTTTTGAAATAATTAAGGATATCTCAAATCCTAATAAAATAGACTTTGCTTTCACTAGTGCTGATCTATGAAGCTAGTTTAAATTGAAGAAATTATTGTTACTGATCTTGATCTTGAATATCAATAGTACTTCATAGAAACTATAAAAAATAGCTATAATTATTGATATGCCTATTAGTTGTTCTATACATACATGTCTCAAGATTGATAGATACTCCAGTTTATTTTATATGTGTATGATTTTTTCTTCTGTTGTGTGTCCTAGAACTCTTTTTGGATTTGCATATACTTTGTCTAGTCTAAGTGTATTATGAGCCACTTATAAGTTTGTATAGTATACTTGTACAATTCTTGTTCCCTTACTTTCTTCATAACTAAATCTATTCTTGATAATGTTTTGTATATTGTCTGGAATTTCTTTTCCCTTCCTTGTTGTTGTTGTTATCAATATTATTATCATTAAAGAAATTGATATATTATCGATAGTTATCTCTTCTATCAATTTTGAAATCTCTATGATATCTTTCTCAGTGTTTTTACTGGTACTGTATTTTTCATTCTCAAGCTCTATATCTTCCTAGTTCTGAGTATTAATTTAATTGACCTCTGCTCCTTCCATTGATTTCTTCTTTCAGTTGATATATGTCTTTTTTTTGTGCTAGATAAGGGGTTAAACTTGTTTCTTAGTTTGGATTTCAATAACTGTTTGAAAATCTTGTTACTATCTATAAGAATCCTTTTATTTGTATAGTTGATTGTCAGGTTTCTAATCCTGGTTGACTTTCTTAATATGTTTATTGTCAAAACTCTTTGTGAGCATTGTATTTTTTCTTTAATATTTTGGATTGTTATCATAAAAAGAAATTTTCAAAAATTTGGATACGAGTGGAAAAAAGTTTTTTTTTTTAAAAAAAATTTTTTTTAACCAAGTAAATTTCTAAAAAAAAATAATTATAATATTAAAAAATAAGTTATAAATAATTAAATTGATAACTTTTTTTTTTTTTTTTAATATGCTAGCTCATTCTTGCGCCAGCATTAGAACCTTTATTAGTTATTAAGATAGATCCTAGGAACAATCGGGATGAGTAATTATCCATACTGTCTAAGGATTTACAGATCAACGAATAGTACAAGGGGCATCTATTTATATCTCACCCAACCAGAATAGGGAAACTATGTGACTGTCTAGTATAGGATTTTTTCTTAATTTCTGACAAAGTCTGAGGTACTGGGGGTGTTTTAACCTACCAATTTAATGGGGAACCATCCAGTTTTAAACTTATGTTTGTATAACTCTTATCCAACTGAAGCAACACTTCCTAGAACCATAGTTCACCAGATGACTTATTGCTATTCCTGTGAAGAGAGGCCAATATATCAAGAACTTGCCTAAGATGTCTAATACCACCGGTATCAGGGGTCTCTTATATAGGATCTTTATGACTCCTATTAATGCATACATTTTTTGTGAAACCTGTCTTGTTTGTTATCATCTGTCCTTGTAGCAATCCATCTTTGCCTTTTTTGGGAAACCTGTTTTGTATTTTTTCTTAAATGCCGAAACACCTTACTACCCAACTTTGCCACTCAGATAAGGGGATCAGTCTTGATTAAGGATGTCGTACTACTTGTCTTGCCTTGTTGGAATCTGTTTTGGTAGTCAGCTTGCGCACCGGGCTGATTTTCTGTCTTGTTATGGTCATGATAGGTGGTCGATTCCTTGTTATGGCCATGTTGGGGTACTGGATTATCACTTATGGGGTAGATGAGATCTTTTGGTCACCGATGGCTAAATTTTCACTTGGCCCTTGTGTGGTATTCAATTTTGGACCTTGTGATTGTGACCTGGGAGCACTACCACTATGCTATAGACCCACAGGTCTATTAAATTGATAACTTATATTTTTTAATTAAGTTTTTAATATATATAACAAAAAAAGTTTTATTTAAGTTGATATCTTTGAATTTTTATTTTGATTGATAAAATTTTTTTATTTTAGCTAGTTAAACTTTTTAAATATAATTTTAATATAAAGAAATAATAAGAAAGTTTATATATTAATTGAAAATAAGTTATGTAAATATTTTTAAAATATTGTTTAAATAATCAAGAATATTTTAAAGAAGCTTTAAATTGTATTTTTTTTTCAGTTTTTAATATGATAATTTATTGTTTTTCAGGATAATTTAAAGAAATAAATTACTATAGTAATTTTAATAAATATAAGTTAAATATTAATCTATTAAAAAATAAAATATTATTTTTTAAATAAGACTTAAATTTTTAGTTTAACTTGTTTTGTTTAAAACAAACTAGCTTAATAATATTTTTTAAATAAACTCTTGTTGCAAAAAATTTTTATAATAATTTTTTAAGAATAAAAATACTTTATAATTATTTAATTTTTTTAATTAAGAAGATTGTAAATTAAAGAAAAAAGTCAATAACCATTTTTTGTAGATATCTTTTTATATGTAATTAAAAGTATTTTAAAAATTTTTGTTTATTTTTTGTATATTAATTTTTTTATATATGGTATTTATAAAAATGAATTTTTTTTAATTTTTTAATTTAATAAATTTGTTGATAATACAATAAAAATAAATATTTTATAATATATTGCATATTTGATATTAAAACAGAATTTGTCAATATGCTTTGAGATAAAGTATACTGTATAATAAATATTTATACAATTCAATTTATAAACAAATAAATAAAATTTTAATAAGAGCGATTTCATTTCATTTAAAAGCGTATATAAACATAAAATCATAATATTCTGAAGAAATAATATTTCATCGATTGCCGTAAACAAAATTAATAATACTGTATATCGGATAAAAGTTGATATATTATATCTCTAATCGAATATATTGATATAAACTGGAATGATATAATTAATAATAATAAAGTATTAAAACAACATTCGGTTTATTTTATTTTCATTTTTTACAGACCATACCAGGATCGAAATTTCGAATGAATTAGCAAAGGTTTCAGGATAAATTAGTGCCTAATGTACTCTCATGTTTAGACAACAACAAGAAAAACTCCTGATTTTTTGTATTATTTGCATGTAGAGATTGAAGTGACTTGCGGTCAACTGCAATGTTTGAAATAATATAATTACAAGTAATTTGAATCATATATTATTATACTTAATCTTCGCGCCTTTTCTATTTCGCGATCAACTAGACCATAACATCTCCTGAGGGCAAACTATCGTTAAGTTAGGGTTTCTTTTCTTATCTCTTCACCTCTCATGTTCTGTTTCTCGTTGCAATCGAGAAGTTCATGTTAACTAATCTTTGGATAATTTTTATACTAGCTCGTGCTATCAAGGACTAATTGTCGTCATTTCTACAAATGGGATATCTTTTTTCCTACGTATTATCATTGGAAACTTAATTGATATAATTAATTGATCATTATCAATAATCTCTGTAGTAATATTAGAAAACGCCATTTTCTTAGTCAATTGATGATTCATCAATTTAAAGATTTTTTGATCCGAGTTAATAGATAGATATTTATATATATACGCGTGGTACCCAGTAAAGTTAATTCTCTTTATGAATGTATTTTATATCTTTTTCATACTTACACTTTCCGTGCTGCCATCCAAAGGGTCTGATCAGAGTGAGTACGCGAAAAACAGCTACCGATATTTAGTGAATTTGTATATTCGATGGATGTTAATGTTATTATTCCATTTAGCATGTGTAGTTTGCATACTATCAATTCCAAAGTGTCCTGAATGTCCGTTAGGAACTAATTGTCAAATCCGAAAACAAACATGTCATAATTGTGCTCAAGCATATTGTGCATGACTTCAAATATGACTTTGTGAATAGAGCACTTGCATACTGTATTTAATGGATGAAGCACCAAACAAATTATCCTTTGAATTGAACTAAATTGTACACTTCAAAGTGTGAGCTTATTACAATCAAAGACTATCAAATTTATTTTAACTTTCGTAGATAAATTACAGCGCATATCATATGCAATAATATAATGAACAATGAACGATATTGAATGGATTCGTATACACTACCTGAATACTTGCCTGCAATTCTAGACTTCTTGCATTAATATTACCGTATTAGATATTCTACATCCGCTTACCACTACCCATTATACCGTGAATGAGAAGCCTTGTTCCGATCCATCTCGGAGCTTAAAAAATCTGACATAGTAATCGTAATTTATTCATCATAAAGATCCCGATTTAATCAAATAACAACTAATGATATTATTAGTAGATAGGTAGCACAAATGGCAGTTTAGTACTTCCTAAAGATTTCATTCGGCAATCTTCTGCCCTCAAAATTTCATTGATATGTTTACGAGTAAGTTTATTAAGACAAAACGATGTCGCACCAAAAGCTGTAAAAAGTGTAAATCTAAGGATAATTCCGGTTTTTGTTGAAAATACGTGTCAAATTTGTTCATTAGATGGATGTAAGGTATTAGGTATTAGATGTGAAGTATAATCGCGTATTATTTGAAAATTTTCAATATTATAGAATGAAATTTTTAGTAGCATATTCACTAGATTATTGGATTCTAAAATATAAACTCTTCTTTTCCTTGCAATTTGACAGGCAATCGTGGTAACCTATGACAAGTATAAGTTTTGATGGAAGTTAATTTCTGTTAAACGATTGGCGAGAATAAAAAACATACCAGATCTCGCTTGAAGCAATATTCGTCCTATCGAGTCGCAATAATGTCCTCGATTTGTTGCCATAAGTAAGAAGGAGGTCGTTGTTTTGAATCTATTTCATTTCTCGGTGAAGTAGTAATCCCCGCTTCAAACCTCTTTGCAATCCATCTCTCCAGTGCCAATCTTTTTCCTTCCTCGTGATCGATATACTCAGGTCCAGTGTTTCCAAATGCATCTGTTGGTTTAAAAATCCTCGTAGACTTATATTCAGTATTTTTATAGAGCCACTGTAAATTCACAATGTTCCTAACCAATTTGAAAGGATCTCCGCGTCCATGATTTATGTAATTTGGGCAGAAACGTGAAATCGTTATGAGATCTATTCCACGGGTAATGTTGTGCTCCTTCAGCATCAAGCACATCAACTGACGTCGTTCAAAAGATGAAAGATTTCCTGAAAATAACTTTAATTTACAGTTATAACAAATCATGTGCATTTTAACGGCAGATGGTAAGATTTCTGCATCGCAGGGACTCCCAGAATTCGTGTAAGGTGGTGTCACATCAAGATTTTTGGGACTTGTTGATGACCGCAACGTCAAATCAGGTTCTTTGAGTGAACTACAACCTAAAGAATCTTTCCGATCAGCACCAGTCTTAAAAAAGGTGAAGGCGCTATAATCTCCCTTATCAAAAATCTGGTACCAGTTTGTTTTGATTTCTCTATAGATCTTCTTAACATATTCGGATTGAATTGATGCCAGACGAATTTGTGAGTTCTCCCCGGCTCTGCTGCGCTTAAAACACAGGCTACAAAATTTTCCCCAATCACGAGCCACCACTGACTTATAGGTTTTATATATCGTTGCCTTAGGTTTCGGTGGTATTAGACCCACCTTGTGAACGATAAATTTCCAGTAGAGATGTGTGTCCGCCGCCAGTTGCCACGACCTGCAAACCTGGGCCACTCGGGTAAAGTGAACTGGGTGCTCGATAAGGTTGTCAAAAATCTTGCAGAGGACTTCTTGTGGCATACGCATAGCCATAGGAAGGGTTATTAGATTGATTGGTATGATGGAAGGAATGGGCGGAGACGAGTTTTTCTTGAGCCGGGAAGAAATTTTGCGGCGTTTTGTTTTTCTAGTGTTAGTGGTTTTCTTGGGTTCTGACATTTTTGATTGCCTATTGCGAGAGAAGGAATGGAAAGTTCTATATTTTTTTGTGGGAAGAGGATCACAGGTTCATAATTGCACGTTTCCACCCACATGCAAAATACCGATCTTGCATTGTTTGACAATACAATAGTGGGTAGTAATTGTTGATCTTTTTCTTTACATGCTATATGAGAACTAAATATATAAATTGCTAATAACGTAATAAGAAACCTTGCTTACAAAGATAAATTTTTTTCGATCTTTGAGAAACTACCTATTTTTGTTATTACAATTAGTTAAAAATATTTGATATAATGTATATTAAATACATGTATGAAGACGATATTTATTATATTGATAATCAAATAAAAAAAAATTTTTTTTTGATAATTCGCTATAACAAAAGATGTTTTTGAATTAAAATAGTTGTAGTCTTTTTAGAATTATTTTGGCAATTAATAAATAATTTAACATAAAATATCAAAATTTTATTGACAAAATATTTTTTAATTATTAATTAATTAAGAATTTAAATTTTATTGAATTGATCTATAAATTTAAACTTCTATTTTTAACAATTACTGTATACAAAATTTTATTATTATTATTTTTTTTTATTACCCGTGGTCAGGCCAGCACTGTGTGTTTATTTATCAATATGAAAACCGATAGAGATATTGTACATAGGGCAATTGCATTATGGCTAAACTAAAAACTTGTACTGACACATTCATCAATGGCTTTCAATTCTCAAATGAGCTTCAGCCTCTAAGTGCAACCTTGGGAACAATATTTCACTCTGAAATAAGTTTTGGGTAAAGGCCCGTCTAACTTACCCATCATTGCCAGCAGATAGTCACTGCTTATTATTCTCCAAGGAACTAATTTTGAGAAACTACAAAAGGGAAAGAGAAAAGAAAAGGAAAGAGAAAAGAAAAGGAAAGAGAATATCTAAAAATGCACAATTGTGCTATATGAAAGTGAAGAAAGAAAAAAAAAAAATAAAAGTAATCCATGTCCTTCAAAGGACCTCTGCTAGAAACCTCTTCTCATTAGAAATCAACCCTTCTGGAATATTCTTCTTCTTCTTGACTATCTAAGGAACTTATTTATCTGCACTTTTAATTATTTTCTTATGACCATCTGAGTACTTATCATCTATTCAAATCCAGTATCTTGCTCAATGCTTCTTTTTTTTCAGTCTTAATTTTATATCTACTCACGCAGAAGTGAACAACTAATGGTAAACCCCAGGTTCTTATGTGGCTTTTCAGTCTTGTTGTATAACTTCCTATATTTTTCAGCAGCCACGCCTAGTTAAAGGAATTTTGCTGGTGTATATCTTCTATTACCTAAAAAACCAGATTCTCCAACAATCTTTTTTCCTTATAATGATGGGGGATCTTGAACAATATAGGATTCTCGTCGATTATAATATCATTACACAACATCTGAAGAAATGCATTCTTAATCCTAAAGAAGGGTAATGTTTTACATTCCTCTGCTTTTCAGTCTTACAGTCTGACTGGGATAAAAAAATAATCTCCTTCGTATACTTTGCCTAACTGGGATTATAAGAAGTTGAAGGCCTCAGCTTAAATAAATAATCATCTTTTTACCACCTAGAGAATTTAGTACCCATCCTAATGGCCTCATGATTTTTTTGTATCAATTAAACTTTATTTGGAAGAGTGAAGGAGTTCGTATCCTTGATTTTTTTTTCAATTACCAATGACGTCATTGGAACACATGAGGTGATCAATAGAAGCTTGTTTATATTCAGCTATTAATGTGTTTCATATCAACTGATCAGATGACAGGTGATGTTGTGCTATCAAAAATTCAGGGTCAAACTGAGGTAGGTAAAATCCTCCAAGAAAACTGTAAAAACCAGTAAGCACTTTAAGAAGTTATAAGACAGTATGTGAGAAGATAGAAAATAAGCATTCCTTTACCAACAAAATCTCTATTTCTTGTTACTTTTAGCTCTGTGAGGTAATACTCCACTTGTCAGTTCTTTTACTTCCTAGAATCTTCTTGCCTTTAGTAGAGGAAGTGCATACTTGAGTCTTTTCAAGCCACTAGAGGCTCAAGTTTTTATTTAAAGAAGTTTATAAACAAGTAAGAGAGGATAAAAGAGCTAAATTAAGATAAGCTTCAAGTTGTTTTAATTAAAGTATAAAGACTTTATTAGTAAGAAAGTATAAAACTTCTTATGAACATCTTTTTTGTGTGTGGTCAGAGGATCAGCAGAAAGAATTTTACAAAATTTATAAACATATTATATTCAATATATATATATACAGTTGCTTCCAAA